AGAAGAAGGACGAGTTGATGAACTCATTCTCTTACATGGAGGACACTATGCGCAAGTGCTTCACCGAGGACGACAAGGCAATCATCCGACGTGATGTTGAAAGCCGAAAGAGGAAAGCAAAGTCATCCAAAGACGTCGAAGACGAGGACTACATGGATGTGGATGATGAAGATATTGAACTTCCCGAAGAAGAGCCGGAACTAGGAGGTAAGGTACCACCTCACTCTCCGAGAGCCAAAGGTAGACCACACTCGTCAGACTCTGCGAAAGAGGAATACGCGAAAGCGGTCGAGGCAACCAAGAAGGCCTTTGGGAACGCCAGTTTCGTCACCAGATTCAAAGAGCCCGTCGACCTCTTTGACATTGCCGATGACAAAGAAGGAGGAGAGTACAGGGTCGCAAATCACAGGGTTGATAGATCAGGTCCTAATGGAAAGTGGGAACTTGATGCACTTATTCAGGAGGCTGCAGCACTCGGAATAAAGATGCCCAAAGTGAAGGACCTTGCTCCTGACCCACAACAAGTTCAAAAGGTTGGATATCGGCAGATTGAGGTGACTTGCGATAGAGGAAGCATCGAGATAATTCCACAGTATGGAGTTACATTCTATGTGGAGTACTGGAATGGACCGAAGAGAGATGCAACTTTCACGGATCCACCAAAGATGAACCCAGCAACTCGCATCGACAAGTTCAGCGAGGAGAGTCAGCGGGTCAACGAGGTTAGCCATAGACTCAATAGACTACTCAGGCATGGAGTGGGAAAGCATAATGGGATTCAATCGCACCGCGGTCGAAAACCTCATGTGTCCCCGAAGTGTAATGAGGGTGGATGGGTGAACATCGATGAGATCCTGGAATATGACCATGTCTTCAACGATGGTGTCGATATCAGTACTATCTCAGGTGATCGGCATCGTCAAGATGTCAAGACAGAGCGATACCAGTATTTATGCAAGGCGATGTGGCATGCAAAGAAGTTGCAGAACAGAGTACGCTACCAGATTGCCGCCATTCGCATCTCAAAGGAGGATGTCTCACTCGAAGAGGAAAGGCAATACTGGGCAAACCTCATGTTTTACAGCACAGACGCACCGTCATTTCTGAAGCATGAACGTTGGATCGTTCCTTGTGCAATTCGAGCTGTTGCCTCTCACAATTCTGGAAGAGAGACTGTTCTTGAAGAGGATGTGTCAATATATCCTGTGTGGACTTCACATCTCATTCCAGAGAATGTGGCAATGCAGCTTGGAGGAAGCTTTCACATGACATCGCTTTCCAATATTGAGTCAATCATGAAACTAGGAATTGTCCCTGGTGGAACGGAGGGATATAGAGGTAGTGTTTTCTTCAACCACTTTGCGCCGTGGGATGATCGATCATCAAAGATTCTGAGATCAAGATGGCCAAGAGTGGGAATGCCCGTTTGCCTTTATGTTCCAATCATGACTTTGAGGAAGCTTGGGGGAAGAATTTCGGAGAATTCCTACACTGTTGTTTTTAGAGAAGTTCCATGGAGATGTGTACGAGGTGCTTGGTATTGGGACGACCACGTTCAGGCATGGAGGAGACTCCTGCTGGGAAGCACTGGAGAGCAAGTTGTTCTAGCGGCGCGTCATGGACTTTGGGTTGCTCAGAAGCATACCATCCTCGAGAGAGCCGACGAAGTCACGAAGTCAGCCTCGGCGACAGATGACAACGTCCAAAAGCTCGTGTCCCTTATCGATGAAGTACGATTCGATGACAATGAAGAGCTGATCGAGGATTCCATCAGTGAGGAAACTTGGGACGAAATCATCTCCAGAACATGTGAAGGGTATCGCAACGTGGATGGCAATATTTTGTGTCCATCATGTATGCATTTGACTTCTTCATCTTTGTCCGTGTGTCTATCTTGTCAAGGCAGGCTGCTCTCGTGTGGTATTCGCAACACTGTCATTTCCGATTCACCCGTTGATCTTGTGAGCGACGATGAAGAGGAAAAGAAGGAAGAGAAGAAGCCTGAAGATGATGATCAAGATATCTTGGACCAGGCCACTATGGACGAGATCAGAAAGGCTTGGGAAGAAGACATCGCTCAAACTGAAGCAGCTGATGACGACGAGGACATGGACAATCTAGATCCTTCCAAACCGTTTGATGGTGCAGAAAACTTCAAGAGTGACAATGTCGAGACCCCATCTTTCAATGAGGACGAGATCGACTACGGTCGTGATTCTGATCTAGAAGATGAAGACGAACGAAACGTGATCATCGAGATCCAGAGGAGCACACAACAATATGAGGGGAAGAAACGTCAAGATGGTGAGCCCGAGGATGAAGACGTCACCGACGACTTACATCCGGAGGCGAATCGACCGACAGATCGTGATGAACCGGGATACTATGCACAGCATGGAGCGACCGAGTTCAATCCCGAAGAAGGAAGAGACAACGAAGATCTCCCCATCTATTGTCGAGTACCGGAACCTCGAATCTATGCGCATCAAGAGAGAGCCTACTGTCAGGACGTCTCCATGAATGCATCGGGTTTGATGGATAGGTATGTGGTCAAATGTGTGCTGAACATGATCTCCCTGATGTACAAGAGCTACTATTGCACCAGCCTTACCGACTTCAAAGCAAATTGGAAAAGGAAGCGACTGGATGTGATAAGCAAGTTCGGTACAGGGGATTCCACTGAAATCGATGACGATGGGAGACCATTGGATCCAACAGATGATATGATGTTAATCTTTGCCAACGACAACAATATTACAACTGAGGAGGCCTGGCACCGATTCAGAGGAGAACAATTCATTTGCAAGGTGGCACTCGTGATCCTATCATTTGGTCATACTCCGCAATCCTTCAAGCAGGGATATGGCAACTTCGAACACTCCACCGACTTGACTGATGCCCAGCTTGAGGAGTTGAAAGCGAAGAAAGCCAGCGCAATGACTGAATTGGTACAGAAGTGCATCCATGCGATTTATGGGTGTCGGACATATTCTTACTTTAGAACCGACATTACATCACCCTACCACAAGGTGATCGATCCTCTGGACATCATGTACTCGAGAATGAAGAGCAAGTGGGAGAAGTCTATTCTGTTGATCATTGATCAACATGAAATCAGGTTGCCCCCACAAGCTCAGGAAGTCATAGAGTCAATGGCCAGAAACCCCAACGTTGGACATACAGAGAGATGGATGAGCGTGGTAGAACATAAGCATGTTCAAGCTCTTACCAATCGTCTAGGCTTTGGAGATAGGGCCAAGGAGATTCAGGGCAAGAAGAAGCAGGCAGCCAAGGCAACAGCTAAGTCAACATCAACGACTAAGTCTGAAGCGAAAGCAGCATCTTCGTCAAGAGCTGAGGCAAAGCCAGCATCTACACCCAGAACCGAGGCCAAGCCGTCGTCAGCACCAAGTGAGGAGCCAAAACCTTTAACAGCACCTAAGAGTTTCGGGCCCTCATCAGCAGAGGAGAGCAAGGCGAAGGCTGCTCCAAAAGCCAGACCACATGATAAATCACCATCCAGTGCTACCGATGTGTTTGAGCAAGCTTTGCAGGAAGATCTTGCCGCCAACGCACATGCAGCAGAAGGTACAACTTCTTCATCATCCCGAGGACATTCCAAAGGAGGAGGCCAATCTGGAACATCTTGGAGGCCGGCGCTAACGCAAGAACGTCGCGAAGTACCTCAACCTTCTGAAAAGGGGAAGGGAAAGAGCAAGTCCAAGGGAAAGTCCAAGAAGGGAGAAGATGATCGGTGGGATGCTCAGGGCAGCTGGGATCATCGTGGATGGAGAGGTTATCACCAGTGGTGATTTCTTTGAACGACTATGAGGATACCATGCAAACCAGGGAGGAAGTCATTCACCGGATGTCTATCTGACCTGAAACGCTGTAAGTGTATCATTGCAAATCGTCAATCTGATTTGATACCTTGAGCATAATGGAAGGAAGACAATCACCGACTGTCTCTCCGACTTGCCGTTCTGTAAGTGTATCCAAAACCAAAAAAAAACCTACATCTTTTGAGAAGTGTGAAGTCAGTTGCCGATGTGACATCTACGTGGAAGTCACCAGTTCGGATCTACATCAAAGCAATGCTCTTTTGAGTGGATACTGAGCGAGGCCTCGTGACTGTCTCACTTGTTCAATTCGATTTTTCAAAGGTTCTGAGCCATAGTTGCACACTTTATATGTAAAAGTCCGCTTTAGTCCAGCATGTTTCGTAGTATGAGCCTCATATGAGTCTCGCGGCAAATCATACAATTTCTTTGTAGCACTTACATCCCTAAATTTTCGTGTGTGATCGGAACATATTGTTGCCGTTCACATGGGGGGGTGCGAATGGAAGTGCAGCGACACGTACAGTGCAACTTGTACATATATATATGTACCATATGTACTTTGGCTCAAGGATCAAGCGACTAGAAAAGGTGCGGTTTCCGTTCCGACGCTACGCCGCTTATGGACCGTCAGTGATAGCTTCAAACTTCGCTGATTAAGATCCACTCGCAATTTATATATATATACACGTAAGCACGCATCAATAATGCCCCATTGGAAGAAGGAGCAAATGATATCCATCAATGATTCTGTGCGCATTTGGGCCTTTATATATGTAGGGGTAGGTATAGCACAGTGCAGAGTGACAGAGTGTGTCGCAGAAATGGAACTTATCCTAACACTATAGTCCTGCATACCACTGTGTTGCAACATGATAAAAGCCAACAGTCTCAACCGCCTAAACATGTTCAACGGTACACAATGAAGGAGACTGCATGAGTATTGTTGAGGGTGCCAAGTGCATGTATACAATCTTAATCATCCGCTGGAACCGGCTGGCTGAGTCGGACTATATGTTGACAAGCCCCTCAAAGTGCTCACCACAGGAAGGCACATGTATGTTGATCCTATCCCGGTGGCGTTTGTGCAGAGGGTGAGGTTTTCCCATGGCATGACAAGGAGACGGCAGGATGATGGCACGCCGCGACGGTTCCGCCGAGGAGGTGGAGAGACTGGCTCTAGAGGTGGGTCGAAAGAAGGGGCTCAACCAGCCAGGGGAGCTCAGAGGTTTTTTGGGTGACGGGAACGAGGTCAGTAGAAGTAGAAGGGACAGTAGTGAGACCGGAGACAGAGACAGAAGTACGTCTCTTCTGCATAAATGATGGAGATTGGCAGTTGAGTTGCAGTCCTTGTTGGACAAGGTTATTATAATGTTGAGGAAGGCCCGACGTGTGAAAGTGAAGTGAAGGTTCTTTTTGGCCCGACGTGTGAAATCGGTTGAGACCCAGAATCAGAACAAGTGATCCATCACGGACAGCGCCAGCCTAGACTGCTGGCACTTGCTTAGACCCCAAACAAGGGAAACGCAGGGAAACTAACGATGGTGCATGGTGGTGTTTTGGGAATGTTAGACCCATGCCGTGGTGTGGGTCAACCAAACACCCAAAGGCCCCAAATGAAGACCCCGCTAAAACATGCGCACTAATCCACCAGAAATGCTCGCCAATGCAGCGTGAGGTTGTTGAAAGCCCCTCTCCTGATGATCCTTGTGTTAGATCCTGATGTAAGTTTGAGGGTTTGTGCTTTAACAGGCTGGCTTCCTGTTCAGTGAGGCTTCGGCCTTTGTTTGGGTCACAACCCATGCTCCAATAATGTCTCCTTAAAAGACCGCCAACTCCGCGCCTCAAGCACTGGGCCAAACTCGCCAGCCCACCGGCATTTTGACTGCCTTCCAGAACCGGTGCTGTTTACAGTAGATGGCATTATATAAAGCAAAGATATAAACCACCAAACTTGGGGCCCTGGTGCCATCTACTCTGAGACCACGTATGAGCTCCCACAAAAAACATCTTCAACTTCCGGGCCAAGGCATGAGTTCCTCACCTTCATGCGGAAGTACCGGGATTTTGAGGCACTTCCGCGCACTTCCGCGCACGTTCACGCGTAGCCCTGCTCGGGGTGTGCTCAAGAGGAAAAGAGGTGACTCAGCCAGTTTCCTCAAACAGCTCTTGGTGAACAGTTGGAATGATTGGGCGGATTTATATACCTAGTATGCTTCACACTGCATTTTAGGAGGCATCGCCCCAGTCAGCACAGGGGTGATGTCCCAATGACCAGATTCGGCCGCATCCCCTCGCGGCCTTCATGGACCTTGCAGGTGCAGAAGATCCTACAGTTCAATCAAGAGAAGAGGAGCAGATGTGCGTGTGTCACCTGGTGTTTTTATCATTTCTACCAAAAACACGTCATCCACACACAACACATTGCATCACATTGCATGATGTCATCAGATGAAACTAAAATGTTTAAGCTTTAATATCAATGGCTCGTTCCCTTCCTTCACCTCCTTCACCACCTCCTTCACTTCACTCCAACTCAGCCTCGATCCTTCGCCTCGACTTGCCAGGAGAGGTGACGAAGAAGCACCCCTTGAGGGCACCGTGTCCTTCGTCGACCTGGTCGGACTGTTGGACACCTCAGGGCGGCAACGACACGTCGCGTCACGGCGCGTTCTTCGGGCAGCGACGTGTTTGTTTGTTTGGAGGCGACACGATATGACAGGAGTGGCCTAGTGGGAAGACCGGGAGCGGGTCAATTTTGGCCCTCCCTCCAAGGTAATGTTGGATCTTAATTCGCATAACCATCCCCCCCCGTGGCAAACAATCGAGGGAGTGGGATTCGAAACCCTACTATCAAAATTAATGCTGGTTGCACTACTACTACTACTACGACGACTACTACTACTAGTGCCATAGCAGTAGGAGTCGGAGTAGTAGTAGTAGTAGTAGTAGTCGTCGTCGTCGTCGTCGTCGTCGTAGTCGTAGTAGTAGTATTTCAATTGAACCGGTTGAGAAAAATGGTCAGATGTTGACAACAAGGAAGAGTAAGAGGCGATGAAGTAGCGCATACACATGTTCTCATCTCTATGTGTACATATATGTATACATCTCAAGAAACAGCTGGTTAGAATCTCACATTCCCAGCTCCCTCACCACCACGGCCACACGCTTTGGGCCGCAAGACAACAGATCGCTCTACGCTTGCGGGTGTACTGTCTTGCGAGGAGAGTTCTCCGATCATCTCAGCACCTCTTGAGGGGGCACGTGTGTGTCTCACAGCTTGAGCCAGAAAGCGACACTGGACTCGGGCAGGTATGAGCCTATCCACAGTAAGTTAGCTCCTTTAACCCTCCTCTAGGGACGGTGACATAGGTGACCGCCCTGGGGCAAACTATGCAAAATGGCACAGTTAGGTATGATAACTTGGCGGTACTGTCCAGTCATCCCCATTGGGAGGGAGATAGTTGAGCCACCGTGGGAGCACTAACCTAAAACAAGCTTCGAAAGCATTATGAGCGGCATATGGACGCCGCCAGGTAGCTCGCACTAGTCTATGGTAGTGTAGGCGTGACAACAATGCACACTCTCCAAACGCCCTGCGCGCCCGGATGCAGAGACGCAAGACCCGATATATAGTAGGTAAGAAGGGCGACGCAGAGCCATAGCAAGCTTGCAATGGATCTCTGCGCAAGAGGCATGGCATAGCAACTTTGCGTGGGTGTTATTGCAGGTCTGCCCAACGCGCTCATCACGAGCGGACCCCAAGGATCTTAAAGGGCAACAATAGCTAAAGAATAGAAAAACAAAAAGCACATCCTGGCTCAAAAAAACCTAATGATTCCGTCCCATTCCATTATAATATATATATATATATTAATTTCGATGAGTCATCCTCAAGGAAGTTCCTGTCATGCCCACGTTAGTTCCAGGGAGTGTGTATCTTATCTAATTATGGGGACGGGCCCTCCTGCGCTCGCCACACATGGTTTACCCTTTCCTAGCCTGACTCGATGACTGAGTGTGAAGAAATAGGTTGTTTGGTCATTTGTCATGCCCCTGACCCCCGAACAACTAAACATGTTAATTTCAAAAGAACCAACGTGTAATTGTTAACGCCGCTGTGGACTTCGAAAAGTGTTGCTTCCAACATTGACCACTGCCACTATCACAGTGTTGTTTTCTCGCTGCTGTTTGTTTTTCTCACCCTCTATATATATATATATTATATACACATACTTTTGAATATGATGATCACAAGTTGGTTCATTTCCCTATGACGTTCGCATGCGCATTCCCATCGCATCTTTCCAACGCAAGGTTGAAGGAGATCGGCTACACCGATGTGTCCCCGGAGGTGCTTCAGGACACGGTGCCTACACGACTCGTTTTGCGACTTCTGGGGGATGGGCCAGGTTGCTGCAGGTGCTTCAGGGAGAGTGACGGGATGCGGAGGCATCGAAAGGCTGACCCCAAGCAGTCCGGGGCGAAACCCTTTTCTTTCGTGGCGTGGAGGTCGCCCAAAGGCGGCAGTTTCAGGTTGCCAGCCGCCTCCGGTGAGGGGCATGGAGGGACGCCACCCTGCAACGAGGGCGGCATAGCGTCGCGACGCAACGCCGGACCCAGGATGACCCAGGGACATGGAGGGCAGACATCATTTTACGGTGAACCTTTGGGACAGTATGTGGGGCAGTATGTCGTACATTTTATGCGTTTTCCGGAGAACTGCATGGAAGGCAGATGAAAGCAACGTTTTGAGCTGGTGTCCCCGCTGGGTTTCCAGAAAGGGGAGATAAGGAAAGTAGAGACGTTGAGACGAGCTTTGCGTCTCACACACGGTGATTAACCACCTCTTTTGTAGATGAGGAGACTAAGCAGAACGCATGTGATTCCATGTTATACCATGTTATTTTTTTTGTGGTTTGCGCATGTTTGTTTGCTGCTTGGCTTTTCGCCGAGACGAGGAGTGTGCTGCACTGGCGCTGAGACCCAGTTGCTGGGCCGGGCCTGCATGACTGGTCAGGAAGATCGAACGTCAACAACGACCCCTTGAGTATAGTATAGAAGATCATACGGCATTCAGGTGGTTTATATGGTGTTTTTGCATGTTTTTGCGACCCCAATGAACATCCAACATGGGTGGTTGTACTGCGTAACTGCGTGGTTCCTCGTATTTGCTGCATCCTTGTTTTTGTGCCCATGGCCTGTGTGAAGTGTAGAGGTGCCCCAAGTTTCAGTTTGGTGCAACTGGCGTTCGCCACAACGGTTAGCATCCTGCAATACAGAAGTTTGACAGCTAGACCCTGCAGAGAGAGAGAGAGAGACGGGAAAATGGTTTTGAACAGGTCTAAATACATAACTATTATTAGACTGATTCGAGCAAGACAGTTGGATTGTAATTCATTTGGGGAGTTTTATTCATCAACATCAACCGTCCACGTGATGTTAATTTCTATTCAATGTTCCGTGCTTCATGACGGTCACCGGTCTCATGGAGGTCCTCACAGGTGTTGAGAAGCAGCTTCAGCAGCGGAGCGTGTTTCCTGCGGGACTGGTGGAAAAAGAACGGTTTGCAGTCTAGATGGGCGCCTCCAGAAGCCAGTCATGCGCCTGTAAGACGGAGCCAGTAGAATGGCTATACCCAAACACTCCATGTATGAAATATGCCGATCAGTTGGGGTGGTTTGGGGGGTCAATGTAGGTAAATATGCCGTACATGGAGTGTTTGGGATAGATTCCTTTATGGACGAAGCAGTTGAGTCCGTGGAAGGCCTCTCCGTCGCTCCGTCGATGCAGCGTGTGAGGTGCACCTGGTGAGTCGCGAGATGGCAGAAGGCTGGAACTGGAACCCCCGCTCACCCCCCACCCCGGAAAAAGACAGACTCATGACCCTGTGAATCCTCAAGCGCGCAAAATACTGCATGATTGGCCAAGTATGTGAATAGTACCCAGACGCTCCATGGGACTGCCATATATGCCTACATTGACCCCCCAAACCACCCCAACTGATCGGCATACATGGCACACATGGAGTGTCTGGGGTACATGATTGGATTGTCAGGGAAATGCAAGCTGCTCGGAACTGGAACTGTTCAAACCACCCCGGGGCACACTTGGGTTCAGAGGAACATGACGGGCGTGGACCGTGGGGATGTGGATGTGAGCGAGTCGTATGATGTCGTATTGAATCGTCTATATTCCATTTAGGGATTTGTGCCATTTGTGCCCCTTGCATGCTGCCTCACTCTTGCTGATTCATAGGTCTTCGACGAGTGGGTGTGGGTCCAACATCCCGGGGCTGATCTGACGCATACAGTGGTTTCAGAGTAGATGGCACAACCCCCAATATGTTTATTATGTAGGGGTCCATCTAAATTAAACCAGCAACTGAAACCGCTATACTTGACCATGGATAGTTGATTCGCTGAGTCAGAGCTAGGGGTTTTCATACTTCAGGGTCCCGTCGACGCGTCGATGTGTGGCTGTCGACTCTGAAAGGATGACCAGCCATGACCAGCCGAGCGAAGTGGGGTCTCAAATAGATCAAAGCATAACAATAGAAACGGTGGTCCAATGCATGAATCAAGTGGGGGTCTACTTTTCTATGTTGTTTGTGGGTCCAAAGAAGCCGTAGGCTTCCAAGACCATTTAAAGAAAGGTTGACATGGTTGCATAAAACAGCTGGTGGTTCGGGATTCAGGTCGACCATTAAAACCAATGGTTGGACTGGAAGCCGAGGGCCTTAGGGTAAGTGGTTTTTTACCACTTCCATGACCATTCGGAGTGGTTCTACCGAGTCAGCCACGACTCGGTGGTCCCAGGGATCGCCTCGTTCAACCCGACCTTCACGTGGCCAGCTCGGAGGGTCTTTTCCGTGGTTGGATTTGTTGGGGTGTTGCAAAAGAGTATCGTCTTTATAGGGATCCCTATACAGGATTTCAGCATTTCTATGGATTTGTGAGTTATGTAAGTTATGTCTTTGTTACAGGAGTTCTATGGATATGTGATTTGATCTCAGAGTTCTGAGATCTGAGGATGGTTGATTCCAGAGGGCTTCAGTGGGTAAGGTTCAAATGCTTCACATGTTGGATAGACATCCCGACAAATCCCCTATGGGTATATACATCCCCTTCTGGTGAATATATGTGTTTTTCTCCAGATCCTTTCTCCATTCAATTGAAAAAATGAAAAACACCCATCGTATCCCATCGTGGTGACAATCTCGTGTGCCACAGTATGCTCATCCTTTGTTAAGAATGCACCGTGACAGCTTCAGACTTGTTTTGGCCGAGACATTTCATGAAACTTGTTGCCACAACACACAGGACTCGACTCAATCTAAGGATTCTCAAACTTGCCAGGGGACACATCCGAACTGACAGCAGCTGCAGGCAGATCAGCCTGCGGCAGCAGGTTGCTGTGGAAGGTCTGTGGGAGTGGGCCACACTCCCACCAAGTGCCAAGAGAGGGTGCGTTCGTCTTTTTGGAAGGTCTAAACCTGCTGCGAGAGCCCAGGTTTGATGGCCTCTACCACTTCCTGGAAAACCTCCGGGCGTCGCATGGCTTCGCCAACGAAGAGCGGGCTCCTCGCCTGGCGTTTCGTTGGCCAAAGCGCAGCTCCACCGCGCACGTTCGAATGGGTGATTCTGAAGCGTGGAGCCGAGGCTTGCCAATACAGTCAGGTGATTTCGGGCTCCAGCCTAGAGGGAGGTTGTTTGATTTCGGCACCCTGGTTCCAACTGATTCCTATTCACATCTATCCACTCACACGGGGCCTGAAAACGACGTGGGAGTCCCCTGCCGAGCGACCAGAATCTCAACTGCCTGAGCGAGCCTGGATGGTGTGCTGCCGGTCTCTTTTTTCTCCCATCCATCCAACAGAAAATCATCCACAGATCGTTGTTCCTTGCCCTGACACTCCGTGGGCCTTATAAAATTAATGACATTGGGGTGGCTTTATTCATCAATGGGCAATATAAGAAATATAGATACACCATGTTACAACATTTTATACATGTGTCAATGTGCATAATTGTAATATTCCATACATGGAGTCCTGGGTAGGAGATTGATATATATATATATATGATATATATATATACCCTTCACTAGCAGCATGTGTTTTTTGTGTGTGTGGGGGAGGGGCGGAACCTACCCGTTCACTTTGCTTGACCCAGTGAGGAGATATTCCATTCCCAGGACCAAGTCCCCAAGTCCGGTGGCTTGGAGACCTCTTCACCTATGAGGGCGCAGTATGTAGACACCTCAGAAGGATGGTCCTGGTACCTGGAGTGTCTCTCATAGATGGCCTTTTACTATTAGTTGGTTGATTACTAGAGAGGATACCGTCCCAAAAGGACACCACTGGTGTCTCTTGTTTTCTTTTGCCCCTCACCACCTTCGATTTCGCTGCAGGTGGACCTTCGCCACGCCTTTGGGCGCTTCAGCAACGAGCAGGCCGCGGGATGCCTGTGTGCCCTCCCACAGCGCTCCCCCTTCAGGGCCTCGAATTTGTCCCAAGGTGGAGCATCCGATCACTGGTAGCATCCGATCATCGAATTCGTGCGGAACTACCGTGACGCCCCCGAGATCGAACCGAACCACGACTTCACTTCAACAGGGAAGTGCGGAAGTGCAGGGATCCAGAGAGAGAGAGAGAGAGAGAGACATACTGGCTATTGAAAAGCCACCACACGTTTCCGAAGGTCGTTTCCCGTTCTCGTGTTTTTGTTGACCACTCGACCACGGACAACGACCACGGTCGCCTTCTTTTCCGACTTCGGTGCCCAGTTCTCCCGGAGTGGCTTCATAGAAGAAGACGATGCCAGCCAGATGCCTGAGCTCGGAAGGGGGCGGAGGTTGGGATATGGCTTCCGGTGGCTTGGAAGCCCCTTGCCGAGCTTTTTCTTTTGGGGGGCAGGGCTCTAAGGTAGGAAATCATGGACATCTATTTCAGTGGACCCTGCTGAGGGGCTGAGCATGTTTCGAACAGAGGAAACATGTTTACATATTTTTAATCAGAGAAGGAAGAAGACAAATAACAATAAAACACAAAGAAGGAATAACGAAGACAGAATTTAGAATAAATACTACTGAAAGAAGGAGGAGAAGAAAAGAAGAACAAAAACCAAAGAAAGAAAAGGAAGAAGGAGCTGAGACAAAAGGAAAGAAACAAGCAGAAGGAGAAGAAGAAGAAGATTGGGGGTTAAAAACTACGGTTTTGTGTCACATTTCCCTTAAACCAACATCCCAAAGATGTTGGGATGTCCGAGATGCGCCATCGTCTTCCATCGACACCATGTACATGGACTCGACCGGGTTCACCCGAGGCTCCAGTGCACCGGAGGATGACGAGGAAGGGAGTGGCAGATGGAGAAACGGGATCCAGTGGTCTTAAAAAGGGAGAAGTGGAGTAGCTGTCTCTGCACCAAACATTGATGCGGCAAGGTATATGGCAGTCAAGCCCGGGCCACCTGGATTGACCAGAGAAAATGAACGGAGTGGACTGGACTAGGAGGGAGCTCAACCTAGCAGGGATTAGGGGTCCTGGGTTTTGACCCACTGCCATGCAGATCATTATAGATCCCCCAAAAAAACGGTGTCAGGAGCCCCTAGTAGCGTCCGAACGCTCCTGGGTCTATTTCCAGGTCCTGGCGGCCAGTTGAGCTTCCAATCCCGCTTTGGGATTGGAATCCCACAACTGGTCATGAAACAGAGCTTTTCAAGAGGTCACTGCATGTGAATTGAGGATGATGATGTTTCTCAAACTTTCCACATGATCAAGTGCAAGCACCACCATTGAACCACCACATTGGAGTCCTTGCGCCCTTCCTGCAGGAGGCTCAAGTCTCCGTCTTAAAGCTCCTCCACGTCTTGCGGTGGCACCTCGCAGCAGCCATTTCGGTGGAGCGCGCAGATGCCCGAAAGGAGGACCAGCTGTGCCATTGCAGGGAATGTAGCGTCGGCCCATGTTTGCGTAGTGACCCGCCACCCGCCACCCTTTCATTGAGCGGGAGTCCGCCTTACAGGGAGGGATCTGTCCACCTGTTGACCAGAACATTGCCCAAGCTGCTGATTTATTGCCATGATCCATCTACCGCATGACTCGCCACCCTTCCCTTTCATCACATTGGGTGGGAGTCAGCCTCGCAGGGAGGGACCTGCACACCTGTTGACCAGAACGTTACACCCTCAACTCACATGTGCAATTTACAGTCGATGGTTCTTTTTTCTTGTTCCATGCTAGTAAGTCCGTTGGAAGGTACCTCGGACCTCAAGACTCCAAGAATACGGTTGATTTGTTTGAACTCCTGCACCCTCAGGCACGAAAAGAATCCGGGTAGAAGTTGAGCGTTGTAACGTTGACCTTCCAATTGTTTGTTCTTGTAGGATCCCAGTTCAATTCTTGGAACTTCTCTTCGAACTGTTGGTTGAGGAGGTTCCGTCTTTCAGAACTCAACTCTAAGGCTCGGCTATCAGTTGGAGTTGTGGCAGGCCAGCATGTTTGTGGTCTTGGGGAGGTGCATGTGCATTCCACAAACATCTATATATATATATATACCAATTGATACCAGGACCAATGGGTGTGCTGGCTGGCGTGCACACTACACTATTGGTCCCACACCGATTGGAGGCTCCTGGTACATGCCTTCATGGAGAAACTACTACCAAGTAGCTCTCGCAGTTGTTTTTCACCCGGATCAGATTCAGAATGATTCAGAGCTTTCATGAGATCGGATTCAGAATCATTCCAGCAGGTGGTGGAAAAGATGGACAGCATCCGCATGGTGGGGAGTGCCTACCTTTCGCTGGACCGCTGGGGGGCTGGACCTGTCATAGCTAGCCCCGGGGCAGAGCTCTGCACCTGAAAAGTCATGTCAGTCATGGTTGCTTAGGGCCTAGGGTGCAATGGCTTAATAAGCATAGTAATAAGCAAATGTCATTTTATAACAGACAGACAGACAGACAGACAGACAGGCAGGCAGACAGACAGACACAGACAGACAGACAGACACAGACACAGACACACACAGACACAGACAGACAGACAGACACAGACACAGGCAGACACAGACAGACACAGACAGACACAGCCAGACACGGACAGACACACACAGACAGACACGGACAGACACAGACAGACACAGACAAACACAGACAGACACAGACAGACAGACAGACAGAGACAGACAGACAGATGGATGGATAGATAGATAGATAGATAGATATAGATATGTGATCGTGTGTGCATCCTAATATTGCCCAATATAATAGATTATACTGTAATACCACATGATTATTTACTGATTATTACAGTATATATATATAACTAATGTAAAATATTTTTGTCCACTGTCATTTGTCCTATATGTTGCACATATTGTTGCTTGCTTCGGGGCTTTTTAGAAACACTCTTCCCGGGGTTGATGAAGATGAGAAGCAAGGTTACTTTCGAAAAGCTCGTGGCTACCTGAATGCCTGGTGGGCCTGTCGCCGTGGCCGACAGATGCAGCTGCACGATTTCAAGCAGCAAGAGCACCAGCCGAAGATGCCAAACCCTTAAAGTCCAAAGACTACTGTTCACCTTGCCCTACCTGAACTGACCTTGCCCCCCCCCCAAACAGGTATTGCCGGACATTCCCTCCTACTGTAGTCTGACCATTATTGCTATAGCTCTTGGAGTCCCCAACAAATACCAAGCGCATCAGCTACCAGAGACGTGACTGGGATTCCAACCTCCTCCGCGCGAGGGATCGACCACCGCACGATGTGTGCCCTTGCGATTCACACCCCCTGGCCGGTACCTGGCTCGTTTTGTTCGGTGTGCCCAAGGCTTTGGTTGACTTGAACTGGGCAGCCAAAAGTGCTTTCGCCAGGAGGAGTTCCTGCGCATCATGGCCAAAGTGTTGCTTGGCGACGCAAGAAAGAACCGGGAAGTCCCGCAAGTTACTGGTTGGTAAGATGGTTGATAACAAACTTGAGAAACAAAGGGGGGCTCACCAAAGTACCCGTGCTTGGTGGCTTTTGGTGGGATATCAGCGTTTATCAAGAAACATGAAGATCGTGCTATGAGCCTAGCACCATGAAATTACCCAGTAATTAAGCAACAAACACCTTTATACATTTGGGATGTTGCAGAACTGATGGGCAATACATGTGTCAATGTCTCATAGGCTAGGTTCCAAAACCGCATGCTACTGCAAGCCGTTCTCAGGCACCAGCAGGAGATCGATTGCATCAGAAAGATGCTGGATGATGACAAGCAGGCAGAAGTGTTCCGTGCCTCACTTGCCCGATTCAGGATGAAGACGCACGTTTGACTGGCGGCCTGGTTGCCCTAGTGATCAACAGGTTTGGAGTGCGCAGCGTTCAAGCTAGGTTTGCCCTAGACTCGGATTTGCCAGGAGCCCCTTAAGCAGGACAATTGTTTTCCAGAGGCCGAAAAAGGTTTCACTTCCATGATTATTTCAGGGCTTCGGGGAGTGTATATGTTACAAATACCATCAAATACCTTAAAACATCCAGAAACAAATGCTGGGATTTGATGCTTTCGGAGCAGGACTGCCTACGTCCTTCGTCTCTTCGTCCCTCCGGGTGCCTCGTCAGGTGGTTCCGAACCCGCTGGGAGGCCCCGGGACCGTTCAATCGCGAGAGGGCCGTGAAGTCGGCCGAATCGAAATCCTTCAAACGAGGAGGGACCTTCAAAAGACCTGTGTGAGGCGCCGATCTTCAGATGTCCTGGCTCTATTGATGGTTTATGAACGTGGCCAAGTACAGCTTTCTTTTTGGGGGGGCGAAGCCAAGGAGTTCCAAAGAATATCGACACATGTTCCCAGTTCGGCTGTGTTCAAAAAAGGCCCCTGTGGCCTGTGGCTACTTACTCGCCATTTGAGTAAACCTTATTTAGGGGGCAAGCATTGCACTCCCATGCAAGAACTATACATTACTGTATAATATCTGTATATAATAACTTCCCTGAACCAGGTTTTGTGGGAAACCCTGCTGGGGAGCACAATCGTGTACAATCCATTATTGCGGGTGTGTGTGCATATATGCGCAATTATGTGTCGTTTTCTGCGCTTTTTGCGTCACAGATCTTTTTCGATCCTTTGCGTCGCCCGGTTCTGCCCACCGTGCAGCATGCCAGGCCGCCCAGGCAGCAAGGAGAGCACGATGTCCCACGAGGTCCCCGCGAGCGACCAGGCGGTGGACGCGGTTCCGTGGACCGCGGACTCGCTCGGCCTCGGAGCGTGGGCATGTTGGCCGGTGACGCGGAGACCTCGTGTGGTTCGGGGAGGTCGGTTCGGGGAGGTGAAGCGAAGTGCCACGGAACAGGACGGGACCTCGTGTGGTCGGAGGCTGGAAACGAAGATGTTTGAAGATTTGGAGCAACATGGGGACGCAGAATGGAAGTCAAGAACAACTCCATCAGGGGAGTCACGATGGGTTGTGATATTTTTATGTATTAACTACGCCTCCCTCGAATTCTGATCACCACGCGGACCGGCGGTTGTTGGTCAGGTCGGTTAAACTAAGTGGATCTAAGTGGATAATTATTCAGGATTCCCTATCGGTAAATCCCTTTCGAATTTATATATATATATGTTTCTAGCTTCCTTAAGCAAATCCAAGTTAATTACTCTAGAAACCACTGTATCACATCATGGACGGGCTGTTCCACATGGGCAGTTCCGCACTGTTTGCCTCCACCCGGCCCGACTCTCTCTCTAACAGCAAATCTTCACACATTGTGTGTGCCCCTGAAAGCATGTGCTGATTCTCTGCCAAAACATCCGGGAGCCTTCCAATTAACCGGAGACTTCGACCAAACTCACTAGCCTTCGACCAAATCACTAGCCTTCACGACCTTCAATCCATGTTTGTCCATGTCTTTCCTATGTTTTGGGGTTCTGCCCTCCTCTTGGCCAACCCTCATAGGTCCTCATCGGTCCTCCCGCAGGCCGATGAGTCAAACCAGATCACAGCTCGGAGGCGAGACATGAGATCCACCACCCAGCGTCAGGTGGTAGCAGGCGGAGCAGGTTGATGTTGTTGTTTCTCCCGCGGGGGAAATCCCCCTTCCGGTGACGGTGAAGATGTGTTCTTCCCCGGTTCCTTAGGCGAAGCCAAGTTCGTTCATCAGACGCGTCTCTCTACCCCTGACACCCCCTTAAAAGGATGGGTCAGCAATGGTCAGGGGAAGATCCCAGAAGATACGACTTGCAGATCGGAATCAATTGGTTTTCATCCAATCCAATCACCATCCTGAAAGATGGTGCTGGATGAGGGTTGGTAATGTTGCTCAACTGTGCTTGAGGTTTCATTGCCTTGTCTTTGGGGTTGTGTCAACATGGGGAGACCTCTTCAAAGCACAGGATGTAACGAGATTTGTAATTTCCAACTTTATATTACATATGGTCCGTGCCGCGGGGTAGCCCTATGTCAACACGCACCCATATCATGACTCCATACCCTTGTTTGGAATAGCAATCAACTAGCTTAGCACGAAAACACACAAAGCACCTTTGGGAAATGGTTGGGACATGTTGGGATATATGATGTATATATATATATATACCTAGAGCCTGACTGACCTCTGTTTTGATAGGAAAAGACATGAAAAGACCATATTTTGGATAGTTGACAGTTGATGCTCCAAAACAGGGGTCATTCAGTGGGTACTGGCGGCACAGGTTCTACCCACCCAAGCCATGATTTCTAGGCCACTGGATACGAACAGCTGATGAACTTGAGTCAAAGGACATGTTCTCATGAGTCTCATGGCATCATTGACAGTTGTCAAGTTGTGTGTCATGGCTCCCGCGACGGAGGTTTGCCGTCTCACCCCCCGCACGCGTCGACGGATGTTCTGATTCTTCGCTGACTTTCCACGATTCTGAGCTAGAGATCTCGCACCTCGAAACGATCCTCCTCCCACTCTGAAGGTGGTGAATTCCACCACTCCGTCAGGCTCAAGCGGGTCTTTCATCACTGGGGTTATCCCATGGCCTCGTCCGGGTGCCCCGGATCCGAGGTTCGAGCTCTTGAACGGTGGGAGTTGGGGGTGCTGTCGGACTTCGTTTTGCCTTCAGTACAGTTGGGTCCATGTGAACCTCTTGTTGGGGGGATTGCGCCATCTACTCTCAACCCACTATAATTAGCTTGATGTAGAAAGTGTTTAAAGGTTCAAAATGGTTTCAGAAGGAATTGGGTGCTGAAAGCAGATGGTTTCTTTCCTCGGAGTCGTTTCTGTTGGTGTTTTGGCGAGGCCAGTTTGACACTGAGAGATTGTTTGACCTGGATTCGGATCTGCGAATGATTCAGTTTTATGATTCAGTTTTGGCTATGACGCCGCAGTTCAGAGTGTTGTTTCGAATATGTAGTGGCTGCGGAGAGGAAGGCTGCCATTTTTTTAATGGAGTAAGTGATGTTTTTATTCGCTTCTCTCCCTATGGCAAATGCATCATTCCATTTCTCATCCCTTATCCAGCTATTTGAACATTGGTGGATGCTAGAGGCTTTCCTATCCGAAGCCCTTTCGCCCTTTCAAATGCCTGGCGCTTTGCCAGGGGTGGGTTATTTTGGGCGACCTCTAGTTGTAGGAATCTGAAACAAGACAAAGTATAGAACCCCAAGGAGTTGAGCCCCCTGTCAGCGACCAACCCACAGAATGTGGAGACAAATTGTTCGGTGAACACTTGACATGGCATCCTTCCAAAAGGGGAACGAAATCAGAGATGTTAGATGTTCAGTAGCAAGCGTTCCTTCATGAGGATGGGTTCCTCATCACGTCCCCTCCTTCATGTGTGTTGCGTTTTTGAAATCATGGGTGTTATCCATATCAAGATGCCCACCAGAGAAGTAAGGCTACTTGGGTGTCGGCTAGAAAATGCCAACGAAGGCTCGCGACTTGGGCGCCTTTCTAGGCAAGATCTGGTCGCACTTTCCAAAGAATTTGCTCAAGGATCTTTTTCACAGGAGCGGCTGAGCGGCTCAGTTCGGAGCAGGGATGGAGCCCTTTTTCGGTGTCGACCTTCCTGTCAAGCTTGAAGGATGGAGCGGAAAAGGTGGTTCTTCTGGAGATTGAACCTTCAGAGACCCAGCTTGGGCGCTGGTGACGGGGGCGAACGGACACTTGGAGACGGGCCCGGAAAAGCCCTCCTTAAGCTTCATTATTACTTACTATTGTATAGCCCAGACACTCCATGTATGCCGTATATGCCTACATTGACCCCCCAAACCACCCCAATGTAGGCATATATGGCACACATGGAGTGTCTGGGTAGTATTGCTTTTGTTGGATTGATGTTCTCCCGGGCATGACCCCCTCTTGCCTCGAAGCGAAACACCTCCTTGGGAAGAACTTCACCTTCAAGCTAATAGCGATGGCCTCCAACCTAATAGCTTTTAGTTATAGAATAGTACCCAGACACTCCATGTGTGCCATATAAATATGCCGATCAGTTGGGGTGGTGCCAGGGGGGTCAATGTAGGCATATATGGCATACATGGAGTGTTTGGGGGATAGAAACGATCGCTTATTTGGGATTTATCTTCTCCCTCTCGCCTCGAAGTGAGACACCTCCTTTGGAAGAGCTTCTTCACCGACATGCCGTGCGGGCGTGCGGGCCGTGGCAGGACGTGTGGGGCGTGGCCCAAGTCCTCCGCCGACATCGGAAGAAGGCTCCGTGAAGGAAAGGGGTAGAGTATGGTAGAGTACACTCGGAGTCACTCATGTAGAAGTCGACCACCTTTTGTTTGTAGAGGAAAATGGTCATCCAACGGGGACCATTTGCAATGTGTGAGGCTGCCAGGAATTCAGCAAAGAGCCTGGATCACAAGTGCCTTTGACGTTCCAATCATTGACCATGCTAGACTACTTTGAACTTCTGAAGAGACATGAAGAGACCACGCTGGGCGCACATGCCCAATATGAAGTTTTGACGTCAAGACTCAGCCTACATTAATTAATAGTCTCCAATCACCTTCTGAGAAGGTACTTGGATCCCTAGGGAGTAACTTGTCCTGGACCGCCCTCCCCAGGTGCGGGAGCTCGTACGAAAGAACTTGGGCCCCTCGGCGCGGTCCATATCGCGGAGGATAAGACAGGACGGAGCGTTTTGCGGATCTCCAGGTGGCCGCGGGGATATTCGGAGGCCTTCCAGGAAGGAAGTCATGTGTGAGATCCCATGCCTAACTCGGTATGACTCCAACCTTGCCTGTGCAAGTGTTCTGAGCGGGAATCGTTCCGGGTGTCCAGTTGGTCCAGGAAGGTGTCGGAAGTTCAAGTCCCTTCGATCCGAAGTGTCGGGCAAGAGTGTCGGAAGCCGTGGAAGTTGCGGCACCACGGGCAAACCAAAGACATGAATTGCCAAGGGTACAACGTCTGTCATGTTGCCCGCTGCGGTGTTTTGAAGGTCACCCTTGGACCTGGAACCATACACAACTCCCGAACACTCCCGAACCCAAACAATTGTCGTTAGAAAGTCGAAAGAAAGCTCAAAGCGTTGGAATCCGCTGCATTTGGTCTCTTCTTTCGGGTTTTAACATGACTTTTAACATGTTTTAACGGTTAACAAGCTTCAACTCTTCTTCCCCCATCCTCAACTCTTCTGCCCCCATTCTTCCAACACTGTGCCTTTCACCACTCCGTTCCAGTCGCCACTCCGGAGACAGCGCGGCGAGTGGAGTCTCCACGCGGCGCGGTTGCGCCTTCTCCGCCGAACGCCTCGTCCGACCGGTCGAACCGCGCGGACCGCGGACCGAGGTTTTCATCGCTTGGAGGTGGAGTTTCTCCAAGAGGCCTTTGGACGGATGGGCGCCACCCCGCCGGGGCACCCGAGGAGGCGGGCAATGTGTGTCGAGGCCCAAAGGAGTGGAGCTGATGTGGTGCGCATTTGGAGTGGTGCTTGATGTCTTGAGTTTGGGTAGAGGTGGCATGGAGCTGATGGATGCTGGCATGGATTTAGGGGCAGGATTCAGGATGGTTCGTGATTCACGATGGTTGAATTTGTGAGTGGCCTCACTGTGTTATTTTTTCCATTTTAAATGTATCCTACCGCCAGCAGGGGCTTTTGGCTTTTGGTTTGAGACAGCAGGATGCACTCATAGGTCGGAAGTTTCAGCATCGGCCGCTGGGTTCGCAAAGGATCGGGACGCATTTGGCAACGGACGGTGGATAGGGGGAAGACACTTGAAGACTTGAAGACCATTTGCTTCAGTATGTAGTGGCCGTGGCTGGGTTTACCAAGCTTCGATAGGAAAATCCTATACGCATGTTCAGGCATGTTCTGCCTGAAGGGGACATGAAGGGGTTTGAGAGCAAGTGGGACTGACATCACACAATGTAGGTGTGACACATGATTGCTTGTGCTTGCATTCCTTTCTTGAGCATTCCGACTCCGAGGCCGGAATTTAAGTTGAAGGCACGTGGGGTGTGGGCCCATTGGGTAGGTAGATGGAGCCGATTTTGACCCTGGCAAGCCTGAATGCACCCAGAAAGTTCGAACGGTGTGCAGAGAGTGCAGAGGATCACGGCATCAATCACGGACAACCTCAGAGCGAAACTTACTGACACATATTGAATTGTTAAAGGTGTCCGCTTCCAATGTTTGATCAGATTCTTCGACTTTGCAAAGGTTCCGTGTCTTGTGTTTCGCTTCCTGCGCAAGGGCAAGATGCTCAGCAATGTCGTGAGAGAGCTCTTCCCAGGAGAGGTTGGAAGTCGCAAGTCATGCGACCAATGGGCCTTGGTGGGACGTTCTCCATTCAGACCATGAGGATCAGATCTGTAACCAAGTTCCACAGTCAAGGCTTCTTCAGGACTGTGGGATTGGTCACCTGCATGTCCACCCACCCAGACCTCACTCTCCTTGCGGAGTCTCCGCGATCCACCTGGTAGGAGCGGAGAGGGATCAACATGAACGGTCCCGAGCGCATTGGATGCTGAAGCAGGCGAGTTTCCGCCCACACACTGCGAGAAATCAGTGAAATGCAGTCGAAGTGTACTGGCAGCTGTCCTGCTGTTTGGTGGACTGTCCTGCCCCTTCCAATCGCACAAACAGATGACAAACATGATGTATTCACCTTGTCAAATGTCATTATAGTTCCTTATAAATTATGATTCATTCATGAAATTCATGGCCCAAAAATGGACAAACGGACCGACCTGATCGAGCCAAAAGCGTGGTTTTCTCATCCATCTTCACAGCACTGCATCCTTGGAAGTTTGGAATTGGGGGGCATTTGTCAGCATATCAGGTGACAAAGTCCCAGGGCAATTGTGAAGCGCTGGAATTCCAGGAGCGGATTAGCTGCCGAGTTGACACGGACGGAACGCGGATTGGAGCAGTTTTTAGTACACTAAGGTGGATCTAGGTGGTGGTTTGGGGTTCGGCTTTCTGGACACCTTTCAGCCAGATTCTCAGATCTAAGGGGAAGTTTCAGGCGGTTTCAGGATGTTTGGACTTCGAGGCATCGATCATTCTTGGATCATGGCGGAAGAGAAGAGAAGCTTTGGCCGGGTCTGGTCTCGAGTTCCCGTGGGGCCGGCCGTGGTCCGGCCGTGGTCGAGATGCGCGTTTTGGGTGTTTTCACACACCACGTGTGGGTTCAAAGAGCCGGAAAGGGTGTGAGAACCTAGACCATTGAAACAACCTCTGCGGAATTGGTTTCACCACTAAACACACCAAACAGGTGGTCAAAGGATGAAGGATGTTCATGTTTCTCCAGGGCAACGGCAACGGAGGGGTCGGTTGTCTGGATGGTGTGTTGTTCCACTTCCCCCCCTAACAGTGTGGTCACGCTCTAGGGGTGGGGCTCAGTCCCTCCTTGCGCTAGGTGTGTATGTTTGGACTGTGCTCCTTACAACTGTTTTTGGTAATTGTTCAATCATGTTCACTCCTTTTTTTTTACAAAGGGCGTTTGATTGGTTGGAAGTGGAACCTGAATTTCTTTGGTGGGTCTGATGCGCGCTTTTTCCGCTGCTTCCAGCGGCATAGCTGACACCTCTTGGGTGTGATGTGCTGGACTGTGACATGTTCAATTAGGATCAATTAGGTCCATTGGCTGTTGTTTTGATGTTCCTCTCGGATTTGCGAAACCACTTGGGCCATGAGGCTACATTGATCATGAACTACACCGTTGGACGTGCAGTTTGGATGGGCGGATTGGCCATTGGCAAAGCCCTTGCCGTCCAGGGAGACCACCTACTCCTCGACTCCCTGAAAAGGGACAGTTGAAATAGACACCCATTGGGCTTCCGGGGGGGTTCTCCCTATTCACATACATGCCTTTCCTGTGGTGCTTCTGTGGTGTCACTCTAGATCTCCCGGCTCGGAGCCCTGGGACATCGTTCCAGGAGTTTCTTCACTTGGTGCGCTTGCGCTTGGACCTCTCCACGGAGGCCAGGCTTCAAGAGGCGGGGAAGGGAGCGGTGGACGACGGGAGATCAGGGAGCCACGAGCGGTGAAAGGGTCCGGGTGCAGGTAGAATGATTCAGATGACCGGCAGTTGAAAGAGTGGGTAAGATCGCAGCATGCGGTGACAGTGAAGCTTCACAGTGAAGTAATTCGAAGGCCTCTGAAACCAAGAGCGCAAAAAGGAGCATGCTGCTGGTGATGCAGCTGCTTGTGTACCTTTGTGTTTAAAGTATGGAGCATGGAGGAGCATGGCAGGTGTGTTCTATTATTGCTGGCCACGTGGGTCAGCGACAGAGAAAAACACATGGAGACCCCACAGCATTGGTCGTCACACATTCTCCGTGTGCAATTGAGTTCATGTTCGAGATGTTTGCCCAAGTGGTTGATGCATAACATCCAAGCTCACCCAGAAGTGATGCAAACCTCTTCTTCCACTTCGTGAGGTATTTTCACTAAAGTTAAACCTCCTCACTGCACTTTAAAGCCCCAAATGACAGCATACATGAATCTTTCCCAACCACATCGAGATGTGGAATCCAGTGAGGACCTTTCAGACCGAACCTTGAAGTCTATAAGATCTTACAAGTGACCATGGAAACAGACCGGCCGATTAGTGGTGACCTTTTTTATCCCTCACACCAAGGGATTTACAGACCGGTCCCCCCAAGGAATTTACAGATCCATTCTGAACGGTCTTGACTCGGTGAACTGAAACCCGACCAGCTCGCGTGGGCGTTCCGTGCAGCGACGCAGCGAGGAGCATCGAGCCTTAGAGGTGTTGAAGTTCGTTCCGGTGGAGGCCGCTGAGTTGGGGAGCCCTGCGATGGTGGGACGAGGCCCTCAGCCCTCAGGTGTCCGAACTATGTGGGAAGGCTTCTTAGAAGAGATCAAGGCCCTAGTGCATGGGCACTGCACTCATGGTTTTCGTGGATGGCTCCAGTTGTGAACTATGTCGAGCAAACATAACTGAGAGGTCAAAACTAGTGCACACATGGACACTCCCTGCAATCATGGAAGTGGAGTGAGTGAAAACCACTTGTTTGGGTGGGCGGACTTCATCGTCCGAAATCGGGGCCATACCATCCACTTCCATCCTTTTTGAGGGAGTGTGTCTTCAATTAGGTGATGCGGACGGCCGGGCGGACCGTCGTGCGCGGAGGCTGATGGGTTCATGGACCCATCGGTGCCCTGGCACCGCCCCAACACTGCGCCGAACAAGGGTGCGCCCCCAACAAAATAGGACGGATGGTAGCCACTGGAGACCTTCATCATTCGATGATGGTCGACCAGCAGACCTGCCCGAGGAACCCACCACATCGAATTCTCCGACATGGTTTCGCCATCCTGACTTCGCGGACTCCGTGGTGGGACATCGCATGACATGGCCAATCATGGTCACCACGGGATACCAAGGTGAAGGATCATTTTCCACAAGTTGGCGCGTGCAGAGCAGAGTTTGACCCTCAGCGCACCTGTTTGCAGATCTGTGGCAGGATGTGTGTGTGTGTGTGTGTTTGTTATTCTTTTCTCCTCAGCCGATGTGAAAGCATCCTTGGGCATGGAGGGTCAGAACATCTTCTGGGTTTGGAGTTCTTTTCCTTGTTTGGGTGAAGACCTGGAATGCGTGGATGTCGTCAGCTGACCCGGATGCAACTCGAGTGCGAAGCGCCGGACTCGCGCATGGAAACCGAGCGCTTGGACTGCGACCACCGCGTGGATGAGCTGCTAGCAGCTCAAGCCGAGCTGCCTGAGCTCGGCTTCGGCTTGATCTTCTACTCATTTGGAGTTCCAGCTTGGGTATATAAGTGTTCGAAAATTCCCTCCCATCCTGTGAGTGTCACAGAGAATGGAGAATGGGCACTACGGCACCCCTCGAGTAGGCCAATAGGAATCCTTTTCCCCAACAATCCATGAACGTTAAGACATTGACTTTTATCCTTAAAGCATCTCAAAGCCACCCTAATCTTAAATCAACCCCCATATAAAAGGATGTCCAATCAAGAGTCTAAATAGTCTAAATTAGTATAACATTAGTGACCCTTAGGTAGGTAGGTAGGTAGGTAGGTATAGGTAGGTATAGGTAGGTATAGGTAGATTCGTAGGTAGATAGGTAGGTAGTGTAGGCAAATATCGTATATATGGAGTCTTTGAGGTTTGGATCTCCTGGTTGTTATTCTTTTTTCCACCCAGGTGCCACCACCGGCGGAGTGCTCACGCAGGCGTGAAGCCGGAAGGCCACAAAAAAAGTGACGGTTGATGAATGCAACTGCCCATGTGGAGATGTGAAATCCTGTTTGGTAGACTTGGTTGGGTTTTATTCATCAACAGTCTACACTTTGTTTTGACATGACATAAAGACAGAATATAACATGGACGCACCAGCACCAGCACCACCCAGGTTGCGTTTGGGTGGTCTAGAGAATCGCACCCCTTCAGCCTTACCATCGGTTGCTATCCTGACTGGGTGGTGCTGGCAAAAACTGCTTTTGTTTATATGTAATCATAACCTTAGGGCTCTAAGTATCTTCTCAGAAGGTATTTGGACCTTCCTGGCGCCCACCTCAGCCCCACTTTCTGACAAGGTGCGAAGCCCTACGGGAAAAAACAGATACTGCAATAGAGAAGAGAGAGAGAGAGAGAGAGTTCTTTTATTATACCCCAGACACGACCCATGGGACTGCCATATATGGCGCCCCATTGATCCCCCCTGGCACCACCACCCCAACTGATCGGCAGTCCTATGGCAGTCCCAGACAGGTCGTGTTTGGGTTATACTGCAGGCATTTCTCCAAGATCGCTCGAGTTTTGGGCGGATCGTTGGATGTCGTAGGTCTCCGCCACCCCGGTCTTGAGCTATGTGGCCGTCGCCTGGCGATGGGCAGGGGTAACGGGGTAACGGGTGGTACCCTCCCTGGTCCCTCCAAAGATGGAAGTGGAATTCACCCCCCCCTGTTTGTAGAGGAGAAGGGTCCACTTCCAAGATTGTTGGAGAGAGGGTAGTAAGTGTAGTAGTAACTGTACATGTCGCACCCCGTTGTTGATGATGTCCCACCTGGTGACCCGATTGGATTTCAACTTCGATACTCTCAGCGAAGGATTTCTTCTGATGCTCTCACCAGGGAACGGTTCCAGGTCCCAGGTCATTCAAGGTTCTTGGTTCTACAATGTTTTTATACATATACTTTAGGACCTTTGTGGGCCTCTTTATTCAAGACCTTCTGTTTGGCATGCTGGAGGCTCCAGGACTATTTATAAATCATCAGGAACTATTTATAAATCATCAGGAACTATTTATAAATAACTAAGGCATTAATGACCATTATTATTGCTGCTATCATGAGTGTTGAGAGGCTACAAGCAACACAAATTACTGGGGAAAACAACAGTCTCACATCCACTGAAGTTTAGCTTCACCCGAGCCATGGGCCGCACCTACAAAAGGAAGAGAACAGTGACAATGAGGGTAAAAGTCAAAGTGAAAAGGAGGAAACGGGTCAAGCGGAGCAAACAATTAGCACAAGTTGCAAGCCACAGTGCCCAACCTTTTCTATGCTGCCCACCGCCACTTCCACCACCACCTCCACCCCCCACCAAGACGAGCAAGACCGCGGATCCTACCACCTCCACCACCAAGACCACCTCCACCAAGACCACCAGCCCCATTGCCACCACCACCGCCACCACCACCACCACCACCAAGACCAAAACACTGCAGCTACCACTTCACTGCTTGAGAAGGCTCTCAGGCACATCAGCTCTGATGACTCTCATGATTCATTCAGACCCTCAGATCAAATTAGTGTATGTATGAACAGGCAAAAGGGGGGCCAAACAAGTGACATGATGGCTGACAACAGTGTCAAGCTTTACAACTGTTCTTCTTGCTTTTTATTTTTTCGGCATTCCGCGTCCGCTGATGATGGCTGGTCTCTGCGTTGGAGAGGATGCCCTCTTAAAGAGTGAGAATCATAGCTGAATTGAGATTTGAATGGGTGATGTGTTGGGGAGTTCAACCAGGTTGCAGGTAAATCAGGGCAAAGGTCCAGCTATATTGGATTTTGACATTGATCTCGGCCAAGTGATCGTTGTAGAGTGTGAAATTTGTGGAGTCACAGGGTGAATCACGCACCTAATTGCCTATAGATGATTGTGTCGCAATTCAGATTTGGGTTGAGATTGGAAGACAGTATCAGGGGTGTTTCAAGCATCTGGCCTCATCCCAGGAAAGGCAAGCGCCCTGCCTATTTGGAGTGGGCCTCCCGCTTTTGCAAAGCTCTCAATCTGCAGGAATATGTCAAAGATATGAAGGATGAGTTTCTTGGGGGGCACTTGTCTCCTGTTTTAGGCTGGTGGCTGATTTCTTCAAAGAGGGACAGGCTGCAATGTAGGAGGTGGTCATTGAAGGGTGGTGCCAACATGGGGCATGTGATATGTGTTTTCAACTCTTTTCAATTTTCCCCACTGTTTTTAAACAGACCAACATTTGCTGACATCAGGTTGCACATCACGGAGGGCTGCGCTGGCAGTGCACCTGCTACCCTAATTCTGAATCTTGGGCTTCAAGCTCTTGGGAATGGGGCAAGGGTCCTGAGAGCATGAGACACATGGTTTCATGCAAGCCGGTTAGCAAGAGGAACCCTAGGGGTAGCCTGAAATACTATAGTATATTATAGACAGACTGGACTCTACATAGAATTGAATATAACTTAACTTCTATTTTGTCCAGTTACTATTTTCAACCCTGTGTGAGGTTCAGATGATTTGCTGGTTGTAGATTTCTAGACTCATTGTTTGCAGTCATGACAGGGGTGGTAATACCACCACAAATCATGATTCAGTTCCCATTGATGTCCTGACCGAGGCGTGAGTTATCCAAAACCATCGGCCTTCAGTTCCGGACAGATGTGGCAATGGAAAACTGTCAGTTCAAGCAGCAGTATATCTCCCGGAATTTCAGGGAACATAGCGCCTGAGCTTCACAGGAGCAAGTGGGTTGTCAATAGTTTACTGTACAGCTACTGCTTGCAATTGCATTTTGTTTGTGTGCAGGGCAGGTGTTTGAGAATTTTGATTTGCTGCAAGTCAGGCACTCCAAATGAGGTTGATGGAAAATTAATGGCAGCAAACAATGCAGTAGGCAGTAGAAGGCCAGTAGTAAGCTGGCAGTCAATTTGCTAGTTCTTCCGTGTTGTTGAGATGAAGTTGATGAAGTCAATGAAACCATTTTGTCACAGCCAAGTTGACCACTTGTTTACGGACGTCAAAGACGCGCACCTCTCTGGCTTTTGCTTGCATCATGGGCAACGGTGCTTTGCTGGAGATGATGTAGAGGACATGTTTCTTTGGGGGGGCCCCTTGTCCTCCATACAGTGCACCTTGGCTGCCAGGGCTGATGTTGGTTCAAGCAGTCTGTGAAGGTCAGAAGCAAGGGATTGTAAACACCCGTCACTTTGACTTTCACTAGTCTGTCAGAGCCAGAGTCAAGTCATGTCAAGTCATTTTCATATTTGAGACTGGCAGACTGCAGACTTGACCGGACTGACAAACTTGAACACACATCCTTTGTCACAGCTGTTTTGCTGCCGGTCATTGAGGGCCCAACACCGAAAACCCATTTACTGACACTTCTCAATTCTTTCATGGGTGGGAGTTGGTCGGAAGTGAGGCCTTGAACAATCGCAAGAGAACTTTGCACTACAACCCGTTTACAGAGACTGGTGCCCAAGCATTTTTGGACTGTGCCCGATATATCCGTAGCTTGGAAGCAGTGCTCAAACTTCCTGTTTGAGCGAATTTTGATGTTGAAGTCATTGAGGTCAGGTTGACAGTCAAGTTGAGTCATTAGAGGTTCAGTGACTCAGTTGACAATTTGAGTTTCACTGTCAAGGAGCCAAGCGCAGTCATACAGTCACTGGAAGTCCATACTCCGCAAGTCAAGCTGAAGTTTTCCCTAGGTGACAGACGACCGCCAATCAGCATCATTGAGCAGGCAAGGTTTTTGACTGACTTGGTAGCAGGACAGGACAGATGAGATGCTTGGAAGAGCAACCAACCATTCTGAAGCAGTTGAATTATTATTCAATGTTTTGTCTTTTTTTTGGTGTAGACAGCGAGCAGGGACAGGGACCTGAAACATGTGGACATGGTGACTTCCTGACCAGGACAGGACAAGACATCATTGCTCCAGTGTAGCTTTGGGTGTCATTAAGTTCAGTAAGATAAGAAGAAGCACACGAGCTTTTTTTTGACCATGAATCAATTCCAATCCAACCTAATTACTTTACAGTAAGTATTAAGTATCCTGCAATCCTGCATTGATCATGCTGGATGGTTCATTGGATATGTCTCCACAGGCCTGGTTGCACCTAGCTTCAGCTCTGTCACAGGTGAAGGGAATTACTACTCCATTTCCTCCTTGCGACGATCCAATGAACACCTTCTTCAAAGAGTACAAGGTGCCCGTCCACTGCGGGTCAAGTTGGCAAGTTGGAGTTGGAGGTCTAATGAAACCTTGTTTTTTTGATGCGCTGTACTGTACTGCTGCCCGTTGTTTCAAGTAGTCACATGCTCCACATGTTTTTGGACTGTTACAAGTTACAAGGCAAACAAATAGCAGAAAAGGTCAGTCAACAAGTCAGACATGTTCAGAGGGTCAGGTGACTTATGCTACAGTACTACGACATAGTGCGCACACACTACAAATGACAGGTGACAGGATTAGGCTTAGGATTCAGATACAAAAGTACTATCAGACTTTGCGGTATTTCATCTATCAGGAATCAGGACAGGAAAGGAAGGCCAGGCCCTAAGCACTTTTTTTCTCAGGGCATTCTGAGGTCCAAGGTTTGTTGTGACATTGTAGTAAGCTCTGGCCGCTCCATCCCTGGCCCATGGCATTGTCAGATCTTTGGAATCACGAGTCTGGGTCTGAGTCTCAGGACTCTCCAGACACCGCTCTCAAAAAACAAAAGAGGCTGCAACAAACTGCCAGTGCAAGGGCAGCTGCAGTGAAAGCCAGCCGTCAAAAGTTGAAGGACAAACTTACAAGGACAGTCACTAACCAAGTGACTGAATCAAGAAAACGTTGGCTGCAGGAGGATTTTTTTACACAGAAGCTCTTCCACCCTGGATCTTCGAAGTCAGTAAATTATCCCAGAAGACAATCTGATCGTGCGAGATGCGTGTACAGTTTGCTCCTGTGTTTGGTCAAGACTATCCAAACACTATTTCAAGCACCCCAGGTTCAGACTGTCATCAACTGCATCACAGCAGATGACACAACAGTCCGGATGAGGCCGGCAACAGGCCGCAGTCAAATCTTTACAGTTTGTGACACTGTGCAAACACTGCACATCCAGCATGCAACTGGCAGAGCAGCCACTGGCCATGATGAGACACACTGGAAGACAATTGGTGTGCCATCACCCATGCATATCCTTTCTGGGTGCAAAGCGGGTCATGTGCATGGCGCCATGACCTGCTTTTCTGAGACTGGGACATTTGTTCGAAACCCATTCATTCCGCACAAGCTTTGGGAAAGCTCTTGTTCGTGTCCTCCGAGCACCCAACATGTTTCAGCGCACCTAGGCCAGATGTCGAAAAATCATTTCACTTTTGGTGTGCTGTGTCCAGCATCTGTGATGAAAGATTTGTTGATTCTGACATCCCAGAACCCTCATCACCCCTTGAATTAGACATGTCACTGCCTTCTGGGGATTGAAATTGAAATATGGGAATCAGATCGGTAAGAAATTGAATTCAGAATCAGAATCCAGCTGAGGTATACCTGTGCACAGCTTGCCAGCAGAATCTGCACACTGGAGGAGCAGATCAGACTGGATTTTGCGGGACTACAGCTGTCAATCAAAGTCAGGGAAAAAAGCACTTGTGGAGATGCTGCGTTTCTGCAATGGAGACACAAGGAATGATATTATCATTCACTGGTGTGTGGGTGATTGCTGCAACTCTGATGTGGACAGTGTTAACAAGCTTGTCAAGAAAGTGCTTGTGTTCTTCTGCAACGGATTCCCACTTCCACTACTATATCGGTTCAAGCATTACTCTCCTGCCAGTGCCTATATGAAGGTTGGGACAGCATTCCACAACATTCTTGGACGCACCTTTCTCCAGTTGCACAGTGGACATGACGAGGCTGATGAGAACCTTTCATCAATGATTGATGTTATCTTGACGGATACTTCAAGGAAAGTTCCAAAATGTGAGCCTGGTGAGCTCTCTCAGCAAGATCTGCAAATAGCAATCAGTGATTTCATGGATGCTGATACCAACTACGCAGCAAAGAACTCCGTTCGCAAGAGGCTGATTTGTGAAGAGCTGTCATCGCCTGACTTTCACAAGAACGTCTATGTGATAGACTCCCTCCTCCAGCCATTCGAGTTGGGGATAAACTACTGCTTTGCCCGGACAGCAATCTTGCATGAGTTGACAGCTTTGGGCTCTGACCACCCTCGTCACAACGATCTGTTGCAGCAAAGCAGGGGGAAGTTTTTGCATGTTGTTCGAGGTGACCTTGGACGAGATGTGATTCAAGGATTCATGCAAAACTTGAAGTACAAGCTTCATGACGCAATTGAAATTGGTCTTGGCGGTGATGTGGAAGCAAGCTACTTACAGAACGTGTTCTCTCTCATCATTGTATGCAGCACAGATTCCTGGCGCCGTTTGATCTATGTATTTGATCAGCCACCCTTCTCATTGTTCCGCACAGTGGGAGTTTCCACTGAAGACTTCGTTGAAGCTTGGTCAGGACTCCATGATAAATTTCAGTCTTGCACTTCCTGCGTGGATCCAACATTCACTGCAGTGTTGCTCAAAGCCTTTCCACGGTTGTTCAGTGACAGCTCACAGGGTGAACAGGAAGCTGTGCAGAAACAGGTGCAGGATTTGCTGCTTGACATTTCAGGCTGGTGTCCTTTGACTTCAGATTTGTGTGAGATCCGCAATGGGAATATCCAGTGGTTGACATCTCGCCGTGGCAACACTCATCTCAAAGGCACAGAGACATCTATTGAGGAGAGCCTTTTGCAGCAATTGATCAACACTCATGAATGGGCTCAGCACGTTTTGGAGCCGGACACAATGCCTACCAGATTGACAGCGTCGTCAATCAGAAAAATGGTTGGCACCAAGAGCAGTAACCAGTTCACAAAGTCTGTGGGCAAAGATGCTGTGACTTTGGCAAGCGTTGGAAGAAGTGTCAAGTGACATGTCAAGGAAGAGTCCATGAGGGGGCTTAGTGGACCCATGTAAGACACTTTAGAGGCAACTGAAACTGTTTGTTGTTTTCTTGAACTGCAGTCAAGGTGAGATCAAGAACTTCAACAGAAATTCAGACAGAGAAAGAAGCCAGATTACATGAGTCTCAACGCAGGAAGGTTCGAGCTTTGTCAGGATGGAATATCTTCCAAAAGCACAAGCTTCAGGAGCAAGGATTGGTTGATCCACTCACGTACAAGAAACGTGTCAAGGAACTAAGCCATGAATGGGCACAGCTCTCAGAGACTGAGAAGGAGGCCTTTAAGTTGCAAGCTGCTCATGAGCAAAGTCTGAGGGAAAAGTTGGCTGTGACACCCCTCATCACCAAAGCTCAAAAACAGTCAGCTTCCATGCCTGATTCGGCAACAGCCATCAAAGGCCTTGAGGAGCAGATTGGTCGGAAAGGGTGCAAACTCCTTTCTTCTCGAAGGCTATGCCTGAATGAAGCATTGCATCGGGAGAGCGGTGTTTGGCAATCAGAAACACGCTTGGATGACAGTGGCTTGGAGTGATGGGTGCAGCCTTTGTCCTTTGTCAGACTTTTTTTTTGCAGGGACCAGACTGGTCAGCCAGTCCTTTTTTTGGTAGACTTCACTGCACATCTAAGGTGATGGCGCCTTCAAAGCTGATTTGATTGACTTGACTACCTCAGATGAGGTTGTGCAGCACTTCTTGCAGGACACAATTCTTCAACAACCAACCTGCACAGATGCAAGTCAGCTTTGTCAGCTTCCAGATCAATGTTTGGAAATTTGTGGTTCCAACCCACAGGCACAGAGTATCAAGACATTGGTTCAGAACTTCCAAGATGCGCTGAAGAAGTACAAACTCTTGCCTGGGGCTTTGCTGTCTTTCCACACAGATTTCTGCCACAGGACTGCAACATGTTTTCTGGGTGTCACACTTCAGAAGCCAAAAATGCAGACTCTGATGTATGCTGAGATCAACAATGCGGGTCGCGTAAACTTCATCTACAAAGATGGGGTTCCTGTGTTTGGAACCACAGCGGAGCTTTTTGCTTTGTTTTTGCAGGATTTGTCCAGCAGTGTGGCCCCTGAACAAGACATCTGTTTGAAGGTTGATGTTTGCGAGTACAATGTGACATGGGTGGACGGGCATCAGCTTGTGGCGTCCTCTGACAGTGTGTCAGGCAGCTTTGACATCAGCCTGGACCGCACAGTTCATAGAAAGCGCAAGCTGCCTGGAAAGCTTCCTTTTGGCTTCAAACTTCGGAAAAACAAGAAAAGGCTCAAGGGCAAGGAGTCTGGAAAAAAGATCCGGTCTTCCAAAAAGATAAAACAAGCGGCTCAGCCTGATAGTCAGCAAAGCCAGGACTTGATCAACAATAGCAGTGATGAGAACAACTCAAACACTGACTCTGTTTCTGGAAGTGCTGCAAGTGATGCTGATGTCGAAGCTGATGTCCCTTTAGGCCCTTCAGTTGATGAAGATGACCCGCAGAGTTTTTTGAACGCAGAATCCGAACCCATAGACCCGATTTCAGATGTGGTTGCTCATGAGGAGCAAGCTTGCAGAACCCTTCAGTCTGAGATACAGGAGTCTGTGCAAGCTAGAGCTGAGGTGGGAGAGGCGTATGCTTCAGGGAAAGCAATGCCTAAAACAACATTTTTTAGCAGGGAGCTTGGGCTGGATGGCGGTGGATTGGCTGCCTCCGGGCGGTCAATGTGTCTCCAGTGCAAAGCTGTGATTCGAAAGGGAGAGGTTCGTTTCTCTTGGTATTGGAACCAGCTCAGGCCACATGCCTGGCTTCATTCACATTGTCTGGTTCCCATTACAGAATCAACCGGTCTGAAAGAGCGCACTGTCACAAAGCTGATGGAACTCAGTCAGGAGTCATCAGACTGTCCTGCCACTGTCCGGGAGAAGGCCACAAGCATCCTCAAAGTATATTCATAGCCTGCCAGCCGGGCCATAGACTCAAGCCATCACTCTTGAGAAAAGGATTTGCTTAGCACTGACCTTACCGTTCAAGATCCTTGAAGTGTTTACATTTTGTGGACATGAGGGGTGGTACTGAGTCAGTGTGTGCTCAGATTGGTTGACTCAAACAAGATGTTGAGTTCAAGTATCCAGACTGTTTCAGGTGTCAGGTGTTATACCACTTATGGTCAGTTTTACCTTCATGCCATGGGTGCACACATGCATTGTCAGGCGCCAATTGATTTTATGCAACGTGGAGTTTGGGAAGGAGAGGAGATTGGATTGGCTTTGATTGGTGGCTATGACCTCTTCAGTGTGACAATGGAGCCTCTTGTCAGGATTTCCTTGCTGGGCTGGACAAAGTGTTGCAGCACCCAGTGTCACAAAACAATATGGGAATCATGTTCGCACCAACATGTAACATGAGTTTTGAATGTGTCAACAGTGTGGGCGTGCATTTGTTTGGTATGATCAGATTTGATTTTGAAGTCCAGTCCGAGTCATGTTTTTGAGAGTAGGTGAGGTGAGTGTTGACTGATGAGTCATTTGAAATCTCTTGGCTAGTGCTAATGCCAATTTCAGTGCAGGGGACAGCAATTCTAATTCTGATTACAGAGCTACATACACTACTCTGACTCTGACTCTAACTCCAACTACTTTGCACTGCTTTACGTGAACACAAGTGAAGCATCAATCCAAGTCTGAGGAGCAAACGATTCGGAGTTCCTCAGACAAGAGGGCGAATCTTTATGCTCCTCATTCGGAAAGACTTGGGTGTGGAACCTGCCCAAATGGATGCTGTTTTGCATCTGATTCAGCAAGTTCTTCCAGATCAGATTGGAGAGGGCAGCACCGTGGAAGAAGTTAGAAGCTACATCCGCTCTGTTCATGACGCAACAGACTTGTTGCAATGCCAGTTTTCTAAGGTGCCGGGTGGTTGGGTTGGGGTGAAACTGGCTGAGAGGTGCCACAAAAACAAGGTGACAGCTCACAAACTCACAGCAGGCCTCCTGGAACACACAAGAACACCACTACTGCGTGACTTCATAGATTAGATTGATAGATAGATAATGATAGATAAGATAGATAAGTCAGATTAGATTAGATTCATAAATTCAGATAATAGTATCATTCTATCATTGTATCGAAAATATTAAATACTTTATGGCCCTGGCCTAGCTACTTCAACATACTTGGACTTGGACCACTACTATTAGTGATGTGATGCTATGATGTTTGATGGTCTATGCTTTGCTGGAGAGCAGCTTCGGGTATCCTTCAAAGAACTCGAACACACTTCGCCAGCTGATGCTTTTGCACTTGCGCATTGTCGCACTCTGGAGAAAGGATGAGGATGACTAGGAGGATGCAGATGGGCAGCTTGTGTTTGGGAGTGCCTAAAGTAGCATGCGTTGGTGCTTTGCATGAGGACAAGGATAGGATCAGGAGTTAAGTTTAGGAGGATGAGGACAAGGATTCAGGGTAATGTGGCAGGTGTTTGGTAGTGCCTGAAGTAGTGCGAGTTGTCACTTTGCGTGAGGTCAAGGATATGATTAGGAGCTTGTAGGATGATGAGGACAAGGATAAGACTAGGAGGATGAGGATGAGGATCAGCAGCTTTGGTAGTACCTAAAGTAGCACGCTGTGGCGCTTGCTCCATGCTTCTTGATGGTCGCTGCCATGTGTTTGTATGATGAACATTCAGTGATGATGTGATGATGATGATGGTGATGATGATGAATGGTGAATAACTCATGATTTGTGTATTATTTTTCGATGATGATAGACCATAGACATTTAAATATAAAAAGGAAAACATATGATATATGTGAATCATGATTCTGAAGTATTCTAATTCTGATGACATGATTTGATGATAGGATAAACTAAGACTACCACAGTGAGAGGCTCAGGGTCTGTTTCAGCTTCAGCGTGCAGTGTCTCAGCGCGTCCTTTTAGGTGTTTGGTAACCTTTGGAAGACACCCTGCCCAAACGAATGTGATGCAGCAGCACATTTGCCACAAGTGATGTGTCCTGATTTGTGATCAGTTTTCATGTTGTCAATACAATACAATACAATACAACTTTTGAGATTGAACCTTTTCTAGTGTGGCACACGGTGCACCCTGTCATCGTGTGAGTGTTGTTCTCTGTTTTCCTTTTGAACAAGACAAGTCTTGTGACTTACAGCGCAAATCATCCGGGTGGTAGGGTCTGTATGATTCCAATCTTTTTTGTTCCAAGTTGTTTTCCCCCTCTAGTGTGGTCAGATTTTTCAAGGTGCCCTGGATTCCAGAGTTAGGTTTTGGATCAGCGGGGATCCTGGAACATGGAGCCAGGTTTTGGAACCAAGGTGAGAAGCAGTTGACATCACACCCAACCACCCCAATCCTCCCAATCGACCCAAATCACCACCAATTTTTATAAATAGTTCCAGCCATTTTCATAAATAGTTCCGGCCATTTTATAAATAGTTCCAACCATTTTATAAATAGTTCCAACCCATCCAGCACTCTTTATCACAAAGGTCTGAGCTGGACCCCCACAAGATGTTGTCACAGGAGGAAAATACAGACTTCGGCTTCCACCCCCATCGCCAACCACCCCGCGCTCCCACCTGAACAAGGCAAGTCCCAGAACCCCAGAAGTTTTTTTGGGGTGTGCATTTTGTCAGGGTTCTGTCTGCAGGATGGCCGCCGCTCCAAGAAGTCCAAGGATCAAGTGGCCGCCTACTTTGACAGACTGGGAATTCGGAAGAGCTCAGCCTACACCTCCACCCTTTCCCAGGAGAAATATCAGAATCTCAACCAACGAGAGCGCATCATTTTGGATGTGCATTTTGAGTTGATCAAGGAAACTTGGTCTGTGGGCTGGGCTGGGATAGGATAGGATAGGATGGGCTGGCACTACCGCTACCCCTATTCTTACTACAACTACCACTACTACTACTACTACTACTACTACTACTACTACTTGATACTCAGACTCAGGCTCCTACTACTACTGTACCCAACTCCTCATACTCTCAAAACAACTTTAATGTTTTCTAATTTCTTGTAGTTTTAGTAAGTTAAGTATGTTTTATATATTTTTTGGGGTCACAGGATGTTGGGCAGTTTAGAAACCGCTCGGAACCGTTCCAAACTAAATCTGGGTCATGCTTGACCAAGCACTTATAAGTAGTTTGGAACCGTCCCAAACCGTTCCAGACTATTAATAAATCTAAGCTAGATATAGTCTGGAACCGTCCCAAACCGTTCCAAACTACTTATACATCCCAATCATAACTTTTGGCCAAGTAGTCCTGAGTAGTCCTGAATAGTTTGGGATGTATAAGTAGTCTGGAACCGTTCCAAACCGTTCCAAGCTATTTCTAAACAAAAGTTATATATAGTCTGGAACCGTTCCAAACCGTCCGGCGCTACTTCTAAGTTTAGTGCATAAGTAGTCTGGAACCGTTCCGCGCTATTTGTACACTCAACAAGTTATAAGTAGTCCGGAACCGTCCCAAACCGTTTCTAAAGCTGTGATAAACCAACATAATTTTAACATAATATTAATAATATAATATAATATAGTATTAATTATATTTTATATATTTATACGTTATAGTATAAATTTATAGTTTATAGTCATATAATATAGCTTTTATATGTAATATATCACATGCTGTACAATATCATAACTTACTGTAACTTAACTGAGTTACAAAACACCTCACTTAACATAACATACTGATAGTTACTTACCTGTTACCTACTGTTAACTTATTGTAGTTTAATTGTACTGTTTCGGTACAGCTTTAGTACTAGCACTAGTACTCGCACAATGTAGCACAAAGCTTAACTACAATATCTTGAACTTGACTTTCACTTCTACTGCTACTACACCGCTTCCCGCTCTTTTGCTGACTTACTGACTTACCTTAACTAAGTAATCACCTGAGCCTGTACCCGTACCTTGACTAGCTAACAACTTAGTTACATTTAGCTTCTTCATTGCTTTCAGTATGATGTGGTGCCAGTACCTACTAGCTAAGCTTTTGTTTTCTATTTACAGCGGCGTCAAACCCTATCATTCTGCACACAGCTCACAGCCCAGGAAAAAGGTTTGGATCCAGTGGGGGCAGGATGCATCAGCGATGTGGCCCGTGCCTAACTCAGTCAACCACAAAATAGATCATATATGATATTATGAATTGATCTATTTCAGGTAACTAACTTACATATATATATAGATTTTGGGACAACTAGATAAATAAACGATTGATATTGACACTGACACACTGTATATATAAATATGCTGCATTCTGCAGTCCTGTAGTCTGTAGTCTAATGATCCTTGGGTCCTTGAATGCTTGATTCAATAGGCTGGAGCCTAGAGCTAGGCTACATGGAGGTGAGGCAAGATTGAAAATAAAGGATCCAACCAACGCTCAACAAAGAATGTTTCGCTGAGGGTCTTTGGGACGTGAGCAGTGGCATTCTGGATCATCCATATCTGCGATTACTACAGGCGTGAAATTATGGGACTGGTCTCACCAGGATTTCTTGACAGCGCAGGACAGGAGTCTTGGAGTCTTGCTCATTGACAGTGAGAGCTGCCTTGTAGGGAATACTCACAGACTCTGCTTAACTACATTGAAATTACTTTTTTTCCAGCGGGCCATGCTTTGATTTTGGCTACTGACTACCAACTACCACTACCACTACTACAAAAGCTGACAAGTCCAGTCCAGTTACCAATCTTCCCAGGACCTTCTGTGCATACAGGGCATGGATGTCACAGAGCTGGACCTCACCGGAATGTCATACTCCCAGGTGAACATCCTTGCAGGCAGAGTGTCTAGGGTTGTCTCAGTCTCACCAAAACCATGTTTTTGTTTGTTGGGCTGGGCTTGACAAGATCCTTCATTTCACTCAGGGGTTGCAGTCCAGTATTGTTTCTTGGTTTCCTGCTGTCCTTTTGCAGGGGA